TTCCGCTTGTGAAAAGGTCTGCTCAAGTCCTGGCTATTGAACAGCGAAAATTTCAGGTTTCTATCTCATTCCTATCAAAAGTTATTCAAAAAGCAACCAGCGGTCTGACCATTTGGAACGGATAGTAGTCAGTCTTTTGACTCCGAAAATGATTTAAAACTGATTTTAAAGACAAATAAAGCAAAAATTTTAAAAAGTAGCTCAAACCATCGATAGAGCTCGAAAAGTTCTGTCGAATGATATATCGCATGATTTGCTTCCATTTGCTCTGACATTAGAAAAATTTACTTTGTCTACTGGAATGCCGCTAAGTAGTGCTAACCAGAACTAATTAGTAATTAAAAAATGGTCAGAGATATCGTTTCTCAACCTTTTTTATATGAAATTATATCTACAAACAATTCTCTATAAAACTACATCCCAGTCAATTGCTTGTAAAATTTATATCAAAAACTAGAAAGATTTTAAAAGATGCCTGTCAAACCAAAAATTTCAGTTAATTTTGAACTTAATTAATTAATAACTCTGTCAATATTTGATCAACGAGTTTTTTATTGCATAGGCATACCATCGAACGTATTCTCTACAAACTGGCAAAGTTTGAGGGTATGTTTAAGGGGAGCCTCCACTCCCTTAAACCATCAAAGTACAAAATCAATCCTTGCACGAAACCTCTATTTTCCTCTATCTCAGTCTGACAAGTTGTAATGTTCTTTTATTTCGTCCATCCGCTGATAGGAGAAAAACAGACAGACAGTGTGCGCATATTATCGTCCACTGTGTTTATTCTTTGTTCTCTTTTAGCGTATAGAATAGATATACAGTACAAGTCAGTTAGTCATTTCTTAACCTTTTAACGCAGTGCTACGAGTGTTTTTCTGCTAGTGTTTTTTTGGGTTTTGTTGTAGTTAATGGAAATAGACTAACTATTTGACTATTGTCATCGGTAAGTACACAGCAATTTTCGAGAGAAGAGGAGAATTCGAAGAGGAAAATTTACTTTTTTGTCTCAAAGTTGAACTATTTTCTTCTTGACAGTTTTAGAATTGAAGGGAATTTTCTTTCTCGATCAATGCACCACATCTAAAGTCTTCTCCCATGTGTAGGTTCAGTTAAATATGTTGACTGTGCAGAAATCTCAGAATGAAAATGCACAACAGTGAGAGTAATGTACACAAAGGTTGATTCACTGGAAGTTCAAGCGTGAATATTTTCTTCACATACGGCAAACGTTACCTTATTGGCAAAACTCACGGATGAAACACAAAGACAGCCTCTCTCACTTCTATTCTGAGATCCAATGGCAGTAGCGTTTCGAATTAGAACTGAAAAATACACCGATGAAGAACCTAAAGATACATCTGAGATGAAACTTTTCAGCGCAAAAACAATATCCCACTTTAGAGGAGCAAATTAATACTGGTTCAACTTTGTGCCATTGAAATGAAATGGAGTTTATAACTCAAAACAAAGAAAATAAATTGCTGTGTACTCTGAAGAAGGTGTTCTAGGAGAAAATCTCTAATTACTTCATGTTCTCGAAGAAAATACCGAGTAAAACATGATGAACTTTGGTAAAAAAGAGATTGATATAAGCTTTATTCTGTCAGAATACAACCGGAAAATATTCCATTATAGTATTCTAAACTAAAACTATCGAAAAACACAAAATCAGTTTTGTACGAATAGAGATTCGAACATGTGAACTTAGCTGTGTAGTAAACTAAAAAGAGATTAATTCATCGAAAGAACGTGGTGACAATCAGATAAGTGGCAGGAAAGCTTGCTCAGCCAAACCTGGTTCTAATCACACCCGGATCTTCGTACGCTCTTGTCCGGATCCCGTTTTAATCCTGCCGCAACCTTTGCAGGATTTCAGCGTGATCACGTCAAAAAATTTTCGCTTCAAGTTTTGCTAAATTGCTAAATTTTCGTTACAATGGGGAAATGGCAAGATTAGGTACGATGGCGATATCGACCCCGCGCTAAGTTTCAAATTTCTTGTCAAAATCGCGGCAAGATGAGGCTGTATTCTTGCCGCGAAATGAAGCGGGAATGCTACTAGGATAGGCTTTTGGTTACACTAATGTACCCTGTCGATCAGCAAAATATGAGTTCATACGGTGTTGGACACCTAGAGAGGTTCCCTCGTGAGTTAAGTATTTTCGCATACCGGTGTACGATGTTCATCATCATAAGCTTCTATATTAGCACCTTTCAATAAAGGTTCAATCATCCTTTGTTCTTGTGATTCTTGTTTTGCACGAGCTACCATATGAAGTACAGTTTCACCATTATTACCACGTACATTGAGATCTAGATGATTGAAAAAGTCTTTAGCTTAGCAGTGAATCTCTTAAAATGAAGAAAGAATTTTAATAAAATGAGCTTAGAAGAAACTTCTGTTGAATAAGGCGACTAAGGAATCTTGATAATTGTCTTAGCATAAACAGGACTGAAACATACGTAATCGATGACGCTCATTCGGAGTCCGCCAATAGGATCGATTCATATGGCTTTGGGGACTTGTTTTCAGAAAATGGATCCCAAACAGGAGGCTGATGTTGACTATATTACATCATAGAGTTTATTGAGTCATCTTATGAACGTAAATTTTGGTGAATAGTGGATAAAGCCTTTCTGAAATCATATTTTAGAATCTCAAAAATTTACGCTCTACAACATGGTAAAAATCCACTACAGATCCTGGGAATTTTTGTTCGAGATTCAAAGACCTAGCGATCTAGAAACAAGTTTCCAAAACCGAGAAGACTCTTAGCGAAATGAGCATCATTATTTATATATTTTATATGGCAATAAAACATACATCGTTTTATGACAAAGTGCAAAATTCATCACTAAAACATGAAAAGAGTTTCCTGCCTTCAGTTTTCCTTTTGATAGTCAAATGACTTGACTGTTTTTTCAGAGGTACCGCTGAAGACCTTGATAGAGAGACATACCTCGATATTTACCGAAGAAATGTGTATCTATTACTACAAAAATCTTACCACAATGATAGTTTTCTATAAACTTTTGTAAAACAACTGTATTTTGTTTAAGAACACAATTATGTAGTGGTGAATATAATTCTTCATTTAGTTTTACAATCAATTTTTCCATTGTCTTTCTACGATGACAAGGGAAGTGACACGATAGATCTTGTTTAAGTATATGTTCAATTTGCTTCTCTACTTCATTCCATTTTGCCTCAGCATCATTGTCGGTCCAACGGCAAGCGATCTATTTAAATAGAATGAGTAATAATGACTGAGTCAACCGGAAGAAATATTGATAGCACACCGTATCTTACCTCTTGTAAATAATCATAAAGTTTTTCAGTTGTACTTCGTTCTCGATCAGCATATTTATCATCGTCGTTTAAAGGATTTTTACTACTTCTGTTATTTTTTGGTTGTTCAGTAGTAGTTATTGCCGGACTTTGTTCCAGTTGTTGACTATTGTCAAATCTCTGCTCGGATGATCTGCTTTGGTTCGATTGTGGAAACGGCACTACTGGTGTTACAGAACTTCTGTTACCCATTGTTATCGTTACTTACGACAGAGATGATAATAATAATAAAAACAAAATCAAAAAATCTAAAAATGATACAAAACCTTTTATATATTCATTTTCTTTTTCTTTGATTGTGTTTTCGGAGATGAAAAATAACAGGGTTTTTTCTTTAACTGTGAAAGTTTTCTTTCTTTCATTCTTCAAACTTAATTTAATGGAGATTTTCACACATTTGTAACTAGGCGTCTTTCTCGCAGTTCTCTCAGGCTTGACAACGCCTCTCTTTCTTTTACGGTTTCATTCGTTGAAATATATCATTTTCTTCAACCATAACACAGTTACGCCTGTAGTATAAGTAAAATTCTCGCCTTATTATTGAAGTTTTAAAATAAACATTTCCAGTCAAACAGTCATTTTTTTGTACGACAAACATTTCTCTTTTGTTATATATGTTTTGTTGAAAATGTAAACTATTGTCTCGAAACCTTGATAAATAGAATTTAATAATTAAAATAATACAATTCGTTAAAAAAAATAATACAAACGTTGCTGTATTATTTACCTTCGTTTCTAAATTATTGCCCTTAAATAAATTAGTAATATTTAGTCTGATTTTAAATAGAAATATTATTTATCACTAATCAGTAGTGACAGGTACTAATTCGAGTTTCACTTGAAGAATAGCCAGACCCCGACCCGCTACGCGGAGAATCTGGTCACAGATCTTTGGTAAGATCTAATAATCAAGGACCTGTTTATGGTATGTTTAATTTTGGATAGAAATTTTACACCGAAGTATGGAAAAAGAACCAAGAAGAAGAGAAGCTGCCGGCATGAAACATTTTCTTACGCCGCACAAATTTGCATTCTATCTCGCAAAAAACTTTTCGTGATATATTGTGCATATATTAAAAGATTTCTCCTCCACTGCGTCCTATCCTGTTCATGAACTTGCGCGATTGTATCTGATGCTCTTACGGCAATTCTATAAGGATCTTACAGAAATGTTATAAGAATCTTATATAAGGCAGTCGGTGTAAATGCGTAGTTTACTGATAAGATTAATCTTATCAGTAAACTACAAATCAAATCTTCTTATATTCCTTCGTATAACAATTGTTATACGAAGGAATATAAGAAGATTTGATGACGTTAAAAAGACTTCCATTAAAGCGTTATTTTTACTGAAAGTATCGGAACTTTCATCAAAATGTCTCTTGCAAAATGGCTGTGACCAACACTATGATTTTCGTTGTCGTACACTTTCGCAGTAGACTTTCGGCAATTGCCGAAAGTTGCGTTTTCATCGGGCTTTCGTCGTATCCGAAGTCGAAATTTCGGCAATGTGCCGAAAGTTCAGTTTTGATTAAGACTATTAGTCGAAGGCAGGACTTTCGACAATTGCCGAAAGTTTTGTTGGAGCCGTAAAACTCACTAATTAGCCATGTTAGTCATGTTGTCAGCCTCCTATAACATCTTCATCGACTATAAAACTGTCATGCTGCAAACAATACTTTCGCCGTAACCGGAGTCGAAACTTTAGCAATTTGCTCGATGTTCAGTTTTCGTCGAGAGTAATTTTTAGTTCAGGGCATGACTTTCGGCAACTGCCGATTGCCGAACGTCCACTGCCACAGTGTACGACGGCGAATTTCGCGTTGCCCCTGTGATCTGGAGTCTTTGATGGCACAAGAATTTTATTAAAAATTTTAATGAACTTCCTTTTAATAAAAGCTTTTTAATGAAATTCCTATATTTTTCTATATACGACATATAAGAAGCTTAGAAGATTCTGCTAGGAATTCGGCAAGACGGATTATACAATTAGTGTAGAAGAATTAATAAGATAAGTTAACATATGAGCTTTTATGGACGTCAATTAAAGCGTCTGACTGTATGCAGACTGAATGAGTAAGTGTGGGATTCTACGTATGGAATCCTACGCAACAGAAGAAATCGTTTTAAGATCCTGTGAAATCCTACGTAATCTTATCATAGCAAGTCATGTAATTTCCATAAAATTGTAACGAAATCATATATTTTGAAGATATGCCTATTCGTGGAGAATTCAATTAGCCGATGAAGAAAAACTGGGCGGTAAACGATCAACCGCTTTTTTTAAAAAAGAAGAAGAAAATGCAGCTTTCATCTCGAAATCACTCATACAAATAAAGTTTCGGGACTTTTGTGCCTCAAAATGATTCAAATCAAAATGCAGAAAGAAAATCGCTTTTAATAAAAAAACTTCTAATTTATAGATAAAAGTAACATAATAAATACAGTTAAGGTTTTTGATTTGTACTACTGCAGACAGATCTTTGACTCTTTCATATAAATACATGCCTCATAATAACTCATAGTCAGTGGACTGACTAACACAACATATGACTTCCTTAGCTAGCGTAGATGGTAGCCATTACCAGATCTGAGGTATCGTCCGACGAGCTGAGATTTTCAATAATTATATATTTTAATGAGAATTTTATTTTTCTAGTTTATTCTCTTAAAAAGAACCATTCTGAGACGATTTTTGAAAGACGAGACTTAGGGTCGCTTTCATGGCGACCAATAATAAAAAATTCGATTTCATTTTGAGAAAAATAAAAGTCTCATTAAAATATATAATTACTGAAAATCTCAGCTCGTCGAGCGATATCTCAATTCTAGTAGTCGCTATCATCTATACTAGCTAAGAAATCTCTTAAGGGGGAACGGACCTCCACAAAAAGTACTATTAAACCTTCTCAGATTGTAGAGAACACTCGATTGCATACATCCTGCAGTGGTTTCGTAGTGGATAAGTATTCACACAGTTATAAATTAATTAAGATAAAATTTTAGCAAAAAATTTAATGGCTGGACCTTTCTATGAAAACTTAACTGTTTAATCAAAACTAATTATACGAACATGGTTCAAGTGTACTTTGACCGCGAATCATTTTTAGTTACGATCGCATTTAAGATATTTTAAAAAAAGCCGACTATGGACAGTTCATCGATTTACATTTTTTTTTTGTAAATCAACCGTTCTTTGAAAATAATCACTCGATACATCATTCCAATTAGCTTTTCAAGTGCTACAAAACTGTATTTTTTTCTTATCGAAAGAAGAAGATTTTCACTGAGTTATGAACTTTTTAATTTTTCATGAAAATAGTCCAAAATGGGTTATTTCACCTTGTATAGGTTTTCACTGCGTTCTTGCACTTTCTTCTGAAAATTAACATTGCCACAAGATTCAGCGTGTTCGATAATCTATATTTTCATAATTTCAGAAGGTTCCAGAACAAAGAATAGAGCAGTCCAATGGCTTCGGAAAAGACGCCCAGAGCTCCTGAACAAAGCAAAGTGAAATCTTTGTTTGAATCTTATCTTGTAGAAGACACTTTGGACTATCTATCAATGAAAAAAAATCGATTGCTTGCTATGTAAAAGTTTACAGAAATTTAAGATCTTTTTTCAAAAAGTTCACTGTTCATTGAAGAAGCATGTTCTAATGATAAGATCGGCTCCGATCGATCAAGGAGATCGAAATGCCTATATCGTGACATTACTGCGAACTTTGAATGAAGTTCGGTTAACAAAAATTCTGTTTTTTCTTGAAATGTCTGTTTTCCTGAAAACTAATGTTTTTTAAGAGCCTTGCCACTGATTGTGGTTCAAAGAAGCACGATGGAGAAAAACTTTTGGTGCCAAAAGTCTTCCTTAGGTGCCAAATGAGGCACTAAGTGTAGTAGCTTTTTCAGTTTAACAGAAAAATTTTGAAAAAAATCGAATTTAAGAATCTAAAATTATTAAAAAACTTAAAATTCAATTTTTCTGAAAATTTTTCCGTTATACTGAAAAAAGTATTACACTCAGCATCCCGTTTGGTACCTAAGGAAGAGTTCTGTCAGCAAAACCTTTCTCCAGCGTGGTTCATTCAGTCGCAATCTGTGGAACAGGTTCTTAAAAAATATTACTGTCCGCCTCAAGATATCAGACCGGTAGTTGT